GGTGGTATGCTGATGTTTATGTGTTATGATAATATGACATTGTGAACTTCTAAGTGAAGTCATGAATAATGTCTCAACATCAGGAGATTGAAGAATTGCTCTTGTTATTTGTCTGGGTTTAGGAAGAAAATCTCAGAGATTCTTAAAAATCTCATAAGTGGCAGTTTTGATACTTTTGGAGCAATTTGGAAGATTCAGATCTTATCAATAACAACTTGGTCTGGTAAATCAGAAATCTGATATATTCAGCATATGTTCAAGGGGTTCTTTTACTACAAGAAATTGAAGTGGCATCTAAATTTTGTGTATTAGAACTAATCTGTGATGTCTTGTGAAGCATTTTGGAGTCTTCTGGTTTATTCCCTCCTTCCTTATTTTGCTGTCTGGAAGAAGGTAGAAAGTAATTGTGGTGGATCTCAGCAACACTTAAGAAAGCATGATTGATGACCATGCTTAATGCTACTAGTCTCTTGCTACTGGCTGTTTAAAGTGTCCTTCTCTGTGCCTAACTAAGAGAAGTAAAAAGAAGGCTGCTGTTGTTGAAGAATGTCTAAGTAAGTGTCATGACATTACCAACGACATTGCAACCTTGGGGAAATCAAGAAGAATACGTGGAAAATAACTTCACCACGTAATTGTAGCTATTCAGGAGCTATATTTGGTATTCTGTTTCCCAAAAGAATCTTCAACCTTAAAAGTCGGTCAAAGGCTGATTTTATTCAGGAATTGCTTTGACCTAAACTTATGCATGTATTAGGACTGGTTCTTTTGGCAGAAACAAACAAATGCGTCTAAATTTCATGCACAGTCAATCTGAAACATGCAACAACTTTAACAGGTATCCTTGACCAAGATTTTATATTGCCATCTTCTTGAACCTGTTATCTCCTTATATAACCTCCTGTCACACATTCTTTTCTCTCACAACCATCATGGGGTTTGTACGAATCTGGGAAAACTGTTCTTGGATCTGGTTTTGTGAGGGCTTTCTTTGTCAATTTTTGGCCAAAAAGGGGGAGAAAGGAGTAAAGGAGTACTGTTACGGTTTGACATTGTCCTCGTTGCAGCAGCTACTCAAAATTTTGATCACAAAGACTTGTCACAAATTCAGCAGAAATTCAAATGGCGTGAATTTCTTTGTGACTTGTGATCTGAGTTATGAACACAGTTGTGACCTGTGTTCTGAGTTACAAGGGAGATATTCTGGTCACTCCTTAAAGGTTCTCTGATGCCTCTGAAAGGATAGTTTATCTCCCACGGTCCTCTTTTTCCACCACCAGTGACAAGAAATGGTTCGTGGTCTAAAAGGGAATGAGGTGCATCCTCTTCCTCCTGTGCTTCAAGAGGTCCTGGATGGTTAGTGTGGATACAACCAAAGATGTCAAGACATCCTTCTGTGTGTAATCCTGAACACTTTTATTTTTTTATTGTTGTTGTATTTGTTTTAGCCAAAATTTGCCAAAGGGGGAGATTGTAAGTGCCTTCGTTTAGGATTGGCTCATTTCTTGTAAAACAAATAGTAACAACAATAATGTAATGTAATGTACAATAAGAACAGCCTGAAAATCCTATTGTAAATGCCTAAACATGTTGTGTTGATTTATATCAACATCTGGAACAAACATGTCTCAAGAGATGTCATAACATCATACCAGACATCAAGCTACTGAACTGTCAAGTCTGATGCAGTTCTGTTCCTGAAGTTATGCAGAATATTCTGCCAAATAGAATGCATAACAAGTAGCGAAAATTGAAGGCATATGTGGAGCCCTAGAAGATTCAATCAGAAGCTAAGGATAAGGAGAAAAGCTCGATTGAAGACCTAACTTACAGCAGAAGTTTTCTGCTTACTTTATGCAGGTCGTTAAAGCTGCATTGCTGTCATATGAAGGCCCAAATCCAGTTGGGTAAAAAGTGTTATAAATAGAAGTATTGTAACCTAATTTGAAGGGGTCGAGTATTGACAAGATGTACTCATTTAGGGCTAGTTTTGTTGTGAACCACCCGGGCTGTGGGATGGTCACCATACTCCTTGAAACCTGTAGGTTAGAGGATGTATGCATTGTACTTGATTGAAGCTTTTAAGCATGATCAAGATGTGTAATGGAAGTGTATCTTCTGAACAGTTTATGTACTGTAGAAAGTTATCACTGCGGTGATTGAGGGGGAGTGAGAGGGGTCTCATATCTAGGATTGGATCTTAGGTAAAAGTGTCATTGGGTAGTGATTAAGTGAGAAGGCTGTCAACGGGTGTGTTGGCTGTAGGGTCTTTGAATTGATACTACTAATAGTGAACTTTATCCCTGGCTTGGAAGCCCCCAGATGTAGGTTGGTTGAACCGAACTGGGTGAACAATTCTGTGTGTTATTTACTTTCTGCATTGGTTATTTGTTTGATGTCACAGCATTCCTCATGACTTCAATGTATATGATTAACCTTAATCAGAACCTGCGTTTGTCAAAAGGTGTTGCAGGTTCTGGTATGATAGGTCAGTGACTGTTGTAGAACAGATATCAAAAGTACAGCCTATTCTACCTGTACAGCGCTTAATGTCAGATCAGATGTCTTAACATTCCATTAGACATCCTGAGTCTGTGACATACCAGGAATTTCAATCCTCATGTTAATGTCCACCATATCACTCTTAACATGTACCGTGAGCTTATAGAAAGCTCTTCAATCACGTAATGTTAACGTCCATCATGAACAGTCTGAACATACGTCGAGAACTTATAAAAAGCCCTCCGTTTTCACCACTGGAACATACTCCAAAACACTTTGTGCAGTGGCCGCGAAGTTATCATAAAGTTCCCCGGCCTTAATGCATCGACGACTATCATAACTTAATTAAGAGGTTGGGAACTTGTCAAAACTATCCGTTTTCATGATGGTTAGTGATGGCATTCTTAACATTAGTCTCGACAAACCCATAACGGCTCCCCATGATCTGTGCGGGAACATTATCTTTCCCGGCCAGAAAAGTACTCATAGGCAACAAGCGGCTTGTTGTCTTAAAGGGCGACACCATAGAAGCGCACTTCGGCCGGACACATACAAAAAACATAAGAATAAATCATTTAATGAGGATATCAAAAAACCAGTCAAAACAAACACCGAAGATAACTAAAATTTAAGTTCTATAAAGCGACGATCATTTTAAAACAATAAATGCCATTGTCATTACAAAACTAAAAGGAACAAAAAAAGGCACACTAAGCCCTGCATAATTAAAGGTGAAAGCAAAACCACATAAGCACAATAATTATATAAACACATCAAACATCTCTGGGAGGGGCATGATTCGAGTTTTCTTTGGATAGGTCTTCTGTAACAGCATCCTTAAGGGGAGAAAAGGGAAGCTCACTGTTGTCCTCTAGAATAGGAGTAGACTCGACATCCTCTTCTATCACAAGCTTCCTATCTCGGATAACTTTGAAGAAACCCAAGGCAAAAAAATCAATTGACAAATGAAGAAAAAGAGCTTGATTTTTTGCCTTTTCAAAACCCTGGTCATTAGCCAAGAAACTCTCCATCACCACAGTTTCAGACTTCACGTTCAAACTTTATGCACATTCTCCTGCTCTGAGTTTTGAATCCTATTTATCCCCTTTTATGTTATTTATGTTTAACTTTTCTCTAATTTTGTTTATTTTCTCTTTTTATTTTTCATTAGTCTTAGATTTTTTATCTTATATATAAAAGTTATTGAGTCTCTTAATAATTTTTAATGGCAAAACCTTAATAACTTCCCATTAAAAAAAATTCATTTAATCAATAATAAATCTAAATATTTTTATCCCACTGTTATAACACCATTTAATTATATCAACTTCCGTTATTTATAAATAAATTATAATATAAATTGCTATTGATTATTCAATAATTAATGTGAACATCTACGTGGGTTTAGTTTTTAATACATTAGGTTGCAAAATGTGCATTGGAAACGTGGGGTTAGTAGTTTTTCATCCCACTAACTCTTTATCCCATTAATTATAGCAATTTCTATCACTTATAAATAAATTTAAATAGAAATAGTTTAATTTACGAGTTGTAATTCGGGGTTAGTAATGTTTCATCCCACTAACTCTTTATCCCAATAATTATAGCAACTTCTATCCACTTATAAATAAATCTAAATTGAAATAGTTTAATTAACTGGTTGCAATTTTAAGGGTGTGTTTGTTTTATGGTTGAAAATTTTATTCTTTAGAATGATATTTTTAGGATTATTATTCTTGGGAATATTATTCCAATTCATGTGTTTGGTAAGAATTTAGTTTCTTAAGAATAATTATAAAATTTGTTTAATTTTAAATTATAAAAAAATAAAAAAATAAAAAAATAAATAGGAGTGATAGTGGAAAATTAGAATTAATTGAATTTATTTCTATGGAAATGTTTTATTCTCATCCTTTATGCCTTGGAATAAGAATAGAGAATCCATGAGTAAATAATATTCATTGGAATAAAAAATTATCTCAAATGATTTTTTAAAACTTGAATCAAACATGAGAATATTACATTTCCATTATCACATTCCCAATAATAATTTTTGTAACCTTAAAACAAACACATCCTAAATGTGTGTTTGTTTTACGGATGTAAATATTATTTCTGGAATAAGTTTCCCTGGAATAAAATGATGGGAATTATATTTCTTGACATTAAGCATAATAAAAAAAATCAGTAACAAGACCAAATAGAAACATGAACAATACAGTGCATCAGAGATTTTGACATAGTTGATAGTAGCTTTATGTATACTCAATGAGAAGTATCAATATTGCAATATTAAACAAAGTTCTTGTCTTAAAACTTATCAATATTTAGTAGCAGAAACATAAACAACACAATGCATATGATTAAAACAGACAGAACACTAGTGTAAAGAACACTAGTGTAAAGGCAGAGGAAACTAAGTAATAAAACCAATAAAGACAATGTTCACATGATATTGTTTTACTAAATAATAAAAGCATTAAACATTCAAAATTCTACTAAGAACTGTTGGTAGTTAAAATAATTTTCACAAATTCCTTCCCCAATTCAAGAGTATCCATAGTGAAAAAGCAATCCAGTAGATTATTGTCTTTGGTGATAAGCATGACAGCCCTTACCACATCTATAGTTGACAGACCTTCAATTTCTTTTAAAATAGAGACAATTTGGTTCCTCCTATCAGCCGTGTGTTTTTCGTGCACAAAGCAAGATGTAAGTTGTTTCACATTCTCCAAAGTTCCAGCATAAAACTCACCTAACTTGTTCAATGAAGTTAATAAACTATCAGAAACATCATCATTATACTTTACCCTTTTACCCGCACGTTTTCCAGTCCTATTTGATGTAGCCTCACATTGTGATTGATTTACTTGACTTGGTGCTTGAGTATCTTTATTCGTTGGCGTTTCTGGGACTTGTGACTCATAGTTCTCTTCACCTTCATTCAAATTGAATTCAAACTCATTCCCTTGTGTCGGTTGGAAAAATTCTTTCACAATGTTATAAGCGTGATTGCTGGATTTTCTGATGCATTATCAGATGCTTTATCTTTTCCAAATACAACATCCAGGTTGTCAAAGTTAGGAAATGGTTTTCCATACAAACCAGATGCAGTAGGATGTGACAAATCATATGAAATAGAAAAGACAAATAAGAAACACAAAATTTATCGATGATTTCCACTTCTCCATCTATTAAAGTTTTCCAATGCTAAATTATCACTCCATTGACTCCATGCATTACTTGGCTCCACAACAGTTAACATTTCACCAGACATGAATTCGTTAAAGGACTCAACAACTCCTGAATCTGTTTCCAATGGATCTCATGTCATTTTGATTCGAATATGATTATGTAGAAGACAACAAGCTGTGATAATTCTTATTTGAGTTTTTAAAGGGTAGAATGACTTCTCTCTTAATATAGTCCAACGTCCCTTCAAAAGTCCAAAACATCTTTCTATTACATTTCTAGCCGATGAATGTTTCATATTAAAAAACTCTTTAGGTGTAGCCGGTTGTAAGCTATTCCCCCATTCACTAAGGTGATACCTTTGACCTCTATATGGAGTAAGAAAATCTTCCCCGTTCATATATCCAGCATCACATAAATAATAATACCCTATCACCAATAAAACTAAAGTTATTATTATATAAATATGAAAGACATGTTTCTTGTTAATGTGAAATTAATATGATATACCTTGAGGAACCCTTAGTCCATTTGGTCAAGAAATAGTATCTCTAAGAACTCGAGAATCCGCTGCTGAACCCTCCCGCCCAGGCTAGACACAACAACATTCATAACGCGATGAAGGTGTTCGACACACAATCATGTTCGCTATGTGGCAGTAGTGTTCTATACTTTGTAGTGTTCAATTTGCAAAAACGGTGTTTTACACGGCGAACGTGTTAGATACGCAACAGTGCAACAGTGTTTAATTTACAAAAATGGTGTTTTACACGGCGACTGTGTTGGATACACAATAGTGTTCTAGACTCAACAATGTTCATAACGCGACGGCGGTGTTCCATACACAATCATGCCCGATTAGTGCTATACACACCGTGTTGTTTGATACACATAAGAAAATTATTAAAAAAAACAGTGAATGAAGCTGGAAAACATACATGTCAAAAGAAAACAAGCTCTCAGCCAACTCACAGAGATAGAGATGAAATTTTGATTCCTTAAATTGAAATTAAAATCTTCAACAAAAGAAATAAAGAGATAAGTGTATTAGCTTGATTATGAAAAAAGAAATAAAGATTTATAGCAAAACATAACTTACCATTGTTCCATGGAGAAATAGAATGAAGCAAAGAACAAATGAAAAGGAATTTGTGGGATTATCTCCTACTGTTTTTCAACCAACCAAGTTTAACTATTGTTCTTTTATTAGTCCTTCTTTTTATTGCACTTTTTTTAATCATCTGTACTATGAAGTCTTATTGAAAAAGTAAATTACGTGATTGATACTTTTTATATTTGATTTTGTTTTCTTAATATCAGACTATTGGAGAAGAATTTCAAAATTATATGGGAGATGGACCATTAAAACTTGACGTGTCAAGAAGTTTTTGTCGCCATTTATTGCGATAATGAAAATTTTCTAAGAAAGTACGGTGTAATTTATGGTAAAGTATGGAAATTGTTGTTAAAACTAGGATTATTTTAATGATAATTTACAAGAAAGTATTATCCGATGCATTCGTCGTCAAGCCAGATGATTTTTAATAAGCAATGATTCATTGATAAAATGAATACAGGATCCTCAAACCCTCACAAACAACACAAAACCCACTCTACCTAAAACAAGCTAAAGTAGAATGTTTTATATATGAAAATTATTATTATTATTATTATTATTATTATTATTATTATTATTATTATTATTATTATTATTATTATTATTATTATTATTATTATTATTATTATTATTATTAATTATAATTTATTATTATTATTATTATTATTATTATTATTATTATTATTATAATAAATTATAATTTATTATTATTATTATTATTATTATTATTATTATTACTATTACTATTATTATTATTATTATTATTATTATTATTATTATTATTATTATTATTATTATTATTATTATTATTATTATTATTATTATTATTATCTCTTTTGTCATTTTACTTAACTAAAAAAAGAATTTAATTGAAACACACCTGTAGTGTAAAGAAAATTTTACACCATCAATAAATCACAATAGTTAGATTGTAAATTATATTTTATTTTTATTTTAATTATTTATTAAATAATATTAATGAGTGATTGTAATGTATTAAATGTGTAAAAATTTTACATTAATAGTAAATAGTAATTAGTCTCAACCAAAAAATTACTCATTAATTTTGTCCAAAACAATACATAGATGATTCCTATGGTTCTATTTTTAAATATAAATTTATAATAAATAATAATTATAATTAATTAAATTTATTTCTCAATTAATTAATCAATTAATTAATAACAAAATAAAAATATTATTTTATCTCTTATTTACCATCACCAGCACAAATTATATATAAAAAATCATCATACTAATTCTAATCCTACAATGTTACTTCAAATAATATTTTTCTTTCATTAATTAATTAATAAAAACAACAATAAGAGAGAAAGTGAGTGACATTTAGTGGAAAAGTTATTATACTGACAATAATATGGCGTAGTGGTGTTGGTAGTCATGCAGTGTGGGAAGTTTTTATTAAAGGGATGGCGATAAAATATGTTCATGTTTTTAATTAAATTGTAATACAGTCCATTCCACTAAATCATCGACACTAAGTCACAATATTAACAAATGATCATCACTATAATACTAACTTCTTTGTTTGAAATATGTGTTCTATATTCTTTTTCATTTTAATTTTTTATTATCTTCCTTTCAATAGAAAACCATCTCCTTTATTTTTTATACTAATTTTCTCTTTAAATTTTTTTATAAATATTTTATCATGTCTCATAATTTATATATCTACACTCTTAAGCAATAATAAATTTTTGTTCTATATTTGGTGGGTTGATATAAGATGCATTCTCTTTTAAAAAATGCACTTCCTTGGAATTGGCTTGAATTATTTACCACTTTTTTCAACCGGGATCAATCAATGTGAAAAAGGAATCTATTAGGAGTACATTTAGTCTTTTATTATAAGAAAAAACTCCTTATATAAAAGATTTGTCTTCTGAATTGGGTTGACACTTGTTCTGCCGTTAGAAAAGATTAAGTCCAGCCTCTTTGTTGTGGTCCAATAGCTTTGGATTTAAGACCGATAGTCGTTGGGGATTTTCCCACGTGCCTATAGATGACATGATATTTGGTTACCATAACCGACACCTGTCTTCGGAGAATAACAGGTCTAGTTTTCCCTACATTCTCGGGGCGCTTCACTAGGAAGGGGACCACGTGTTTTGACCCCATTACTCGCGTAAACCCCGACAGTCCATGTTATTAGATCCAAATCGCTTGGCTCATTACATGGATATTGGCTCAGCATTGGGGCTATAAATACCCTCTCATCTGAGAGGGTCAGATATTCATTCACTCATTTTACCTCACTTATGTTACTTGCACTCTGATTGTCTAGACTCTTACTTTGGCATCAGATATCTTGCAGGTACCCCCCCCCCCCCCCCCACTTCACATTCGACTGCTGCTCAACTTGAAGCTCGTGGGCCTTGATGATCTCTTCTAATCAGGTACGATCAGTGGTGCCGTCTGTGGGAACCTGTCTCCCCAGTTTTTCACTTAAGACCAAAGCAACTCTCTCAACCTTCCGATTGTCATGGCCGACCAAGCTATCAATAATGACCAGAATATTCAATTCGCCGACATCGGAAACAACAACATTGGCAACAACAACAACGCGGGCAACAACAGCAACGTTGTCTCCCCCGAGCAAGACCCTCAGGACGGGATGACCGCATCTTCCTCCACCCGCTCAACCATGCGACGACGCCCACCATCCTTGACAGAATTACGAGCCGACTGCGTATCAGGAGATCCCCTTTCCCGAAAACGCTAACGCCACGACCAGAGTCCTATTCGCGGCGATCAACCAGACGAATTACATGATCTTCATGTAGGATGAGCGCCTGATGATGCTGAAACATACTCGTCGGGCCCCCAAAAAGCACCGAAGACTTGATTCTCAAACTCCTTCTTCCCGACGGAATGAGGACCGCTTCCGATCTCCTCTGCGGAGACACAAACAAGATGATTCTCAGAGCCTAACTCCCCGTTGTACTAGGCGAGGTCCTGCATTGGAGAGGACCCAGCTCAAAGCTGTCAAGAAGCGCAGTCACACCCTCCCGCGCAAAGAACGGCGATCCCCTGAACAGAAAAGAAACAGGGGCGAGAAAGAGAAGAAGTATTGACTGAGGAACCCTCCCCGTGGCCAAGACCGATACAAAGACTGTCGCTACTACCGGTCCAACTCTCACTCCCCAGAAAGAAGCATTGTCTACCACATCGATGGCTTCGATGCCATGCTTCACTATCACAACATCGGGGGGGCCATTAAATGCAGACTTTTCTCCATGATGCTAAGGAAATTGGCCATGGACTGGTATAAGAGCCTGCCCCCCGGGTCGATCACCTGAAGAAAACCAATTCATTAGCAGCTTCATTGTATCTCGTCGGCATCTAAAGACTGAGGCCGCCCTTGAGGCAATTGTCAAGAGGAGCAATGAGACCCTCAGAGAATACATTGATTGGTTCAACTGCGAGGCTATTCAGGTCCCCTGCGCTGATCACATGAAGAGATACTCGCTCGAGAGGGGACTCCTCCCGGGAACTGAGTGTAAAAAGGCAGTCAGTATTGAGCCTCAAGGTATTTTGATGCACTCCTTGAAATAGCTCGGGCCTACATGGACTATGAGGGAAAAGAGGCCGTTAACAACGCCCGTAATTCGAGGAACTATGAACCAACTAACATCCCACAACACAACGACGCGGGTCCTCTTGGCGAACAGGGGAGAAGAGAAGGGAGGAGAGACCTCATGACCCCATTGAGCACAGAGGACCAATCGGGAAGTTCATCGAATACACCCTGTTGATCGTGAGTATATCCTTGCAGAGTGCTCCAATGCTGAGTTCAAGGACGGAGGGGTCAGGCGTTCTTGACCCACCCCTACAAAGCTTGGGGCCGACAAAACAAAGTACTATCAATACCACCAGAGCCATGGTCACCTAATCGAAGATTGCATCAACTTGAATGATGCCATCGAGACTCTCATCAAGGTAGGGAGACTCGGAAAGTACAAGAGGAACGATGCCCCTTGCCGGTACACCCGCAAGGTTAAAGAAATTGGGGAGGATGTACGACCATCCGATGACTCTAGTCCCCTCCAAGTAGCCTTCTGCGTCTCAAGGCCCGAGGACTTCCACATCCCTGACACTCTTGAAGTTAATGAGCCTTTGTTCACCCACAATAGATGGGAGAAGTTCCCCTCCGCCATGGTCATATCTAGTGGGGGATTCACTGACATCTCGGTGAATTCAGCAAAGAGGAAACTCACTAAGCTAGTGGGTGCAGCCCCGATCCAGGTTGTAACCCTTAAAAT